CGAGAAGTTGAGCACAGGTTGACCCACGTGGGAAATGTACACCTCCTCCAGGTACTGGAAAGGCTGCAGCGTCGGAAAGGTCCCGGCTCCTGGCGGGTCTGACAGCCAGGTACCCAGCATCCAGGACAGGGGCTCCACCACTGGGTTCATCGTGGGGGGCTCTGCGGACAGAAGGAAGAGGCGGTCAGTGGCTCTGTGTCCACTGGACTCTTTGTAAGCGTGCCCTGCTGAGCTCTGTGTGGACACACACACTCTCTGTGGAAGCATGCCCTCACACACCCCGCGTGACCAGAATATGCCACTAGCCACCTGTCAAGAGGGGAAGAAAAAGGGCAAACCATTAGCAAAGGTCACCTTGCCACCGCCAACCCTCTGCAGCTCCTACGCAGAAAAGACAAGAGGGTCTGGAGGCCAAGGACAACGGGACCTGAGGTGGAGGGTCCTGCTCCACAGGCTGGCAGCACCGCTGTGGGTGGAGAACGGAGGGCCGCACCTCCACCTTCTGAGCCCGCAGGGGGCAACACAGGCAGCCGGGACCGGGAGGGTGGGCGAAACCCGTTCTTGCCCCACCTGGCTGGCGCCTCTAGGCCTGCCTCTTCTGATCGCCTGCGAACAACTGGGAAGGGAGGAAGGCTGCGGTTGAGATTTATGCGATCAAACTCTCCTAATCAGACCCGAAAGAAAGTCAAGTCAGGACGCTAACCACAATCTAGAGTGCAGGTAAGGAGTAAAAGCTTCAGAACCCAAGGTCTGGATCGCAGGACTCTGCTGCCACCAGCCGAGTGGGACAGGCGCTGACCCCTGCCCACCCGGGACCCCTGCGCCCCACTGAGTGAAGACAGCAGTGCACCGGGAAGAAAAGGATGCTGAATGTAACGTGTCTGAGGTGACAAGCCAGAAAGGGACATGGGGCTGTTGGGACATTTTGAGGTCTAAACTGTGAGGACCGAGGACGGCTCCCTGAGGGGTGTGCAGAGGTCGCAGCAGGAGGGGGCCCGCGGCAGGAGGGGGCCCACAGCCACTCTGCAGACACACCATGCACTGGGGGGTCCTGGGCGGTGCAGGCTGGCCTGGCCGGGGAGGCCCCCAGAAGGGCCCTGGCGAGGTCTGAGCGGGAGGCACAGAGCACGGGAGGAGGGCGGCCGGGGCTCAATGTCACCGGTGGAAAGGGCCCGATTCGGGGTCTGGTGTGAAGGCAGAGTGTGGGCTGATGGCTGGGACGTGGGGCAGGAGAGCAGGCAGCACCCCCAGGGTTCACGGCCTCAACAACAGAGGAGGTGAGAGGAAGAGCGCCAGTGGTTCGGGTTGGGCGCTTGAACAGCCACTCGCTCGGCTCTGACAGCCCTCATTCTGCAGTTCGCAGAGTAAATAGAAATCGCTGCTTTTTGGCCAGCCGTGGCCTCGGAGATGCCATCTGTCTGGTGCACCTGTCGCGCTCGGGGCGACACGGAGGAAAGCCCGCCCGTGTGCTGTGGAGCCGCCGGCCCGGCCCGCCTAACCCTCACCTGGTGTCCACACGCGGCGGAGGCGGGGTGCGGCAGCGCGCTTTCCCTCTCGGGCCAGCCCGCCGCCTAGGGAGCCAGGGACGCAACTGCAGCGGCCTGCCGCCTCCAGGAAGGAGCCCTCCGCGCCCCTTCTCCCGGGTCAGAGCCGCAGGACCACGCGCTCCCGTTCCTGCCACCCAACGCTTCCCCCTGGGACCCCCTCAAAGGCAGGCAGTGGTGGGGATGAGCGGAGCCCCGGCCCAGATGGCGCCCCCCAGCCTCCAGGGCCACCACACCCCCTCCCCAGCAGCTCCTCAGCCCGCGGGGCAGGGCGGCCTCTGCAAGTCCACACACAGCCCCTCCTCTTAGACCCGGCCCCATTGGGGGGCCCCTGAGGGCAGGAGCCCTGTCCTCATCAAATCTGCTCTTCAGGGCCACCCAGGGAGGGGGAGTGCCTCCACTGGGGGGTAAGGGGGAGAGAGGCAGAGGGACAGTGACAGAGAGACGGAGAGGGAGAGAGGCAGGCAGACAGAGAGACAGGGAAAGACCCAGACAGAGAGCAAGCTGGGTCTTGCTCTCATCCTCCCTCACAGTCTCTGGGGGTCTCTGAGGGAACAGGATTATCATCTCTACCAGAAAATAATAAAAAACAACAACAGAGAACCCCCCCCCCCCGCCCCCTGCAGCCTGGCCTTTCCAGGAAGACAGGTCACAGCTCCCGAATATGCTGAGGGCCGTGGCGGAGGGGATGGCCTGGCGAGGGGCCCTGGGACCCCGTCTGTGTTGACACACAGGGTGTCATGTGCCACTCGTCAAGGTGCACTCAGCTTCTCCTTCACACTGTGTGAAGGGTGGCAGTTGGCCTGAAAGTGGACGCCCTGCCTGGAACCCAACGCCCGGGAGGAGCAGTGAGCGAGCCAAGGGACAGCGCACCACCCGCCACCGCCAGGGCCCTGGTGAGGCTGCGAGCACGCGGCTCAGCACCGGCTGAAGCAACCACCTCTGGGGAGAAAGAGCCCTGGCGAGAGATGGGAGAACTAGGGAAGGGGGGCGCAGTCGGGTGAGCTCAGGTCATGATCTCAGGGTCCCGGGTTCAGGGCGTGTTGGGCTCCCAGCTCAGTGGGGAGCCTGCTTCTCTCCCTTTGCCTCTGTCCCTCCCCCTACCCGTGCTCACTCGAGCAGTCTCTCTAAAATAAATCTTGGGGCACCTGGGTGGCTCAGTTGGTGAAGCGTCTGCCTTCAGCTCAGGTCACGATCTCAGGGTCCTGGGATCGAGCCCCACATCGGGCTCCCTGCTCAGTGGGAAGCCTGCCTCCCTCTGCCCCTCCCTCTGCTTGTACGCTTGCTCGCTGTCAAATAAATAAAATCTTAAAAAAAAAAAACTAAAAAAATAGATATAGTAATGTTTATTTAAAAAAAAACAACTAAGGAGAGAAGTGGCAAGAAAGCAGGAGGTGCAGGAAGTCAGGAGAGACAGACCGAAGCTCCACCACAAGGAAGCTGGAAGTAGCCTGGGATGGCGTGGGACTCAGGGCAGACCCACGCCACAGAGGGGCGAGAAAAGTGCAATGAAAAAGTCAGGAAGGCCAAGAGACCCTCCTGCTGGGGGCACGTGCAGTGCGTAGCCTGCGCGGGGACAGTGGGCACCCCTCCGAGCCCCGCCTGACCAGTCCCGCTGCTGGGCGTCCCCTGTGACAGGACGACACACATCCACACGGGGTCTCTGTTCACAGTTGCTAGACGTGGATCATTGGCCATAAAAAGGAATGAAGCAGGGGCGCCTGGGTGGCTCAGTTGTTAAGCGTCTGCCTTCGGCTCAGGTAATGATCCCAGGGTCCTGGGATCGAGCCCCACATCAGGCTCCCTGCTCTGCGGGAAGCCTGTTTCTCCCTCTCCCACTCCCCCTGCTTGTGATCCTGCTCTCTGTGTCTCTCTCTGTCAAATAAATAAATAAAATCTTTAAAAAAAAAAAAAAAAAAGGAATGAAGCACTGACGCATGCTACCACGTGGATGAACCAAGGAGAGAAGCCAGAGCTAAGGCCACACGCTGCAGGGTTCCATTTACATGAGAAGGAGAGCAGACCGGGGGCTCCTCCACAGCAGGGCCCAGCAGAAGCCGCCAGAGCCACACTCACAAGACGCACAGGAGAGCGAGCACCACTGTTTTCTCTGACACTGGCTATGACCTCACGGCCACACGTGGACATCTGATGTCACTGGCCCACCGAGATGTGCTTTAAGGCTAAGACACACACTGGATTTCAAAAACTCAAGGCAAAAAGGAGGACTTCACACATCTTATTAACTTTTAGGTATTGATTGTTACATGTTGAAATGATAATATTTCAGACAGTATTGGGTTAAGTAAAATAAACTAAAATATATAGATATTTATTTGAGAGAAAGAGCATAAGTGGGGGAGAGGCAGAGGGAGAAGCCGACTCCCTGCTGAGCAAGGAGCCCCACACGGGGCTTGATCCCAGGACCCTGAGATCATGACCTGAGCTGAAGACAGACGCTTAACGACGGAGCCACTCAGGCGCCCCTGTTATTATTTTTAAAGTTTTTATTTATTTACTTTTTAGTAACTCCTACACCCAACTTTGGGGCTCCAACTCACAACACCAACATCAAGAGTCAGAGCCAGCCAGGTGCCCCCAGTTAAACAGAATATAAAGTTAATTTCATCTGTTTGTCTTTACCTTTTTTTTTTTTTTTAAGTAAGCTCTAGGGCCGCCTGGGTGGCTCAGTCGGTTAAGCGTCTGCCTTCGGCTCAGGTCATGATCCCAGGGTCCTGGGATCCAGCCCGATGTCGGGCTCCTTGCTCAGCCGGGAGCCTGCTTCTCCCTCTCCCACTCCCCCTGCTTGTGTTCCCTCTCTCGCTATGTCTCTCTGTCAAATAAGTAAATAAAATCTTTAAGACAATAAAATAAAAGCAAAATACCACAGGCACAATATAAAAAGTGAGGCAGAACGAAGGCCAAACACACCTGAAATCACACATGAAAAGAACAAGCTTTTCAGAATGGATCACAAATTAAGACCCTCAACTCTTGCTATAAGTGAGAGATGCACCAGAGCTAAGAGTGATTTGGAAAGGCATTTCAGAGCCAGGCAAAGGGAGGCAGCAGGAGAGCAAACATCATGATCTCACTATGAGGGGCAATGAACTTCAAGCCAAAATGCATTGAACAAAGAACGGCCAAGTCAGGACAAAGACCCCGGTCAGAGAGACTGACGCACCAAATGCAGCACAGATTCACAGCCCAGGACCCGCGGGAGACACACGGATGCTCACGGAAAGCAACGAAAGGGAGTCCCGCCTGCACTGTGTCCAACTGACCTCCACACCTCCTACAACGAGGAGCTAGTTCTGGTGGGGGGACCCTGCACTCTGCACCTGAAAACTAGGGAACACACCTTCAAGTTCCTCTGAAATATTCATGAAAATGGACCTTATAAATGGTTGGAGAAAACCCGCTAAGTTTCAAAAAGTAGAAAGAGTTCCCACCACATTGATCACGATGCAGCAAGGCTAGAAATTAAAACACTATCAGATCTCCCTCAAAAATGTTATGCCACAAAAGAGAAGGCAGACACAAACACATACGTATTCTGTGATTCCATCTGCATAAAATTCTAGAAGACGGTGAGGAGCACAGCAGTGGTGGGGTGGGGGCTGGGGTGGGAGGGCACAAGAGAACCTGGGGATTCTGGATGGGGGTGCGTCACACAGGTTTCTGCACCCATCTGAAGTCTCGGGGGAGCACCTAAGGGCTGTTTCACTTACTTAAACTGTACCGCAATGAAAACATTCAGAGGCAAAACGAACAAAAAATCAGAGCCCGAAATGCCTTCCCAGGACCTGTTTACTATGTGGCTGCAGCATGGGGTCGTGGATGGTGAGGTGACAGGCAGCCTAGCCTCCCAGGGCCTCTGGTCCGTGCTAGCCAACTGCTGCCCACGGGGGGAGGGCCTTCTGTTGCGGATCTTCTACTTTAAGAAAATCCAGAACTACTGATTGGGGGGTTAAATATCCCAATTTCTAAAGATGTGTTCGAATTAAAGCAACAACAGTTTGCGTGTGAGGCGTGGGTCAGTGGGGAGTGAGAGCACAGCAGTCCCAGTCCTCCGGACACCCCTCCAGGGGCCCAGGCCCTGAGGATGATCCTTGGTGAACCCCAGAGCTTTCTGCCTTGGCCCTTGTCTGCTAGTAGGCAAGAGATACCCATACAAACAACTGAAAATGACACCAGCAGGAGCGAGAAGACAGGAAACGGTGCCCCAGGGAGGGTCCTGTGAAGGGACAGGGAACGGGAGACCGTGACCAGCCAGCCGGCTAACAAATGGACACAAACACAGAGCCCAGCCTGCAGACTTCATAGCTTCGGGGCACTGATGCAGGGCCTGGGGACAACAGCCGCCCGCGGTGGTCCACTAGCCCCGGTCAGACCTGTTCGCTCTTTCCTGGGTGTCAGTGTCCCCAGGCCAGGTCTGAGTACAGGTGCTGTGCCGTGGGGGCTCAGGCCGGGGACAGGAGGACCGCAGGGGAGGAGCTGGGTGAGGTGGACAGGGGGACGGCCTGCCCGGGGTGGGGACGGAGGCTGGAAGCCCGGAGAACAGAGTTGCCAGAACCAGAACACAGGAATGGGGGTCAGGGAAGTGGATGAGGACAGAGGTAGGAGGCCAGGCGGGGGTCAGCTGGAGTTAAGTCCAGCAGTGGCTGGTGTCCCAGGCTGGCAGCCTGGAGGGGTATGGGAGACCAGGGTAGAGGCCATCCCAGGATTGGTCAGGACCGCGAGAGGGGCGAGCGCAGCATGGTCATGGCACCTGAACACGGGGTGGGAGGGTGTCTCCAGAAGAGCAAGTGGGAGAGATGGCCGAGGGCCTAACTTCTGCCTCTAACCAGTTCTGTCTAAACCCATTCCATGACTCTGCCGCGGTGGGAAGGCGCACGCAGGTTACGTGGGGCCTCTGTAAGTGAAGCTGGCCAGGCCTTGTGGAAACACAACTCACTTCAGACGCTGGCTGTTTCTGAGGCCCACAGAGCTCCTGAGGGAAAGCCTCTACAGACAAACGCTCCACAGCACTGCACGAGGTGAAAGGGAAGCCTTTTACCTGGTGGCACGTTAAAAAATTCTAAAATGACTCTCAAAAAATCAGAAGCACCATTTTGAGTAGAAAAAGCAAGCATCGGGGCGCCTGGGTGGCTCAGTCGGTTGAGCGTCTGCCTTCAGCTCAGGTCATGATCCCAGGGTCCTGAGATCTCGAACCCCATATCGGGCTCCCTGCTCTGCGGGAAGCCTGCTTCTCCCTCTCCTGCTCCCCCTGCTTGTGTTCCCTCTCTGTGTCTCTGTCAAATAAATAATCTTAAAAAAAATTTAAAAAAATGAAGAAAAGAAAAAGCAAGCACCTGCGTGGAGTTGAAGGTGCATGCTATGAAATCAATGTCAGGAGACTCTCCCCCTCCGGCCAAGCTTCACCGACCAGCACACACACGGAATGCCCAATACCACGAAGCCGCATCTGATTCTGCGTCAGCACTCCTGACGGCTCCCAGAAACACTTCCAAGTTAGCTCTCCTGGCTCGCTGTCATAATCTTACCTGACTATAGGGCAGGCGGGTCCCACGCCTCCTTCCAGGTCTGCCGCCCCACGGTGGCCAGCACAGCCAGGTTGCTTGGTAGGGCGGGCTCCGCAGCCCCCACCCCCTCGCACCACCGCCCACGGCCCACCACAGCCTCGGTCTCTCGTTTCCAATGAAGCGTTGCAGGGGAGAACCAACAAGGTAACCCTGAGGCCCAAATGTCAGGTTACAAGAGTCTACATGTATATATCAAAATTCATCCAACTAAATCCTTAGAATTTGTGTATTTACTCCATGTAAATGATACTTCACTAGAAAAATAAAAGTAAAATGAACTTAAAAGTCAAACAAAAAACATAAAAAATTAAGGGATTTAAGCCTATTTGCCACTTTTAACCTCTTCAAGTAAACCAGACAGGCTTTTATATGCAATTTTTTCTTATTTCTTTTTTCTTTTATTAACATCTCAACCAAAATGCAAAAACAAGAATTTAAATTTTCTCCAAGAAAATTAAATTTTCACTTTTTGGCCTAAGAGCGCAAGCAGGCTTACCCATCAGTGATGGTAAGTTTTCTGAACTCCAGACTCGGTCAAGGTTCTTCAAGGTTGTTTTCTGCCCATTGACGGGAAACGTTTGTACCTGGCTGTTAGCAGCTTGGCAGGAAGTGAATAATACCAAACTGAAGACGGCATTCTGGGAACTGTAGTTCTACCCTAGGAGATGGTTCCTCAGAAACCCGTGGGGACACAGAGACCTGGAGGGAACTGAACCTTGGATGTGGGAGCAGACCCAGTCGACTCGGACGACGGTGGGACAGGCCAGGGAGTGAGGAGGGGGCTTCCGCCCTCTGCTGCTTCCACCGGGGACCCCGGAGGGAACCGATCTGTGTCGCAGGGAAGCGGGCGGAGCCAGGCACACAGCAAAAGCTGTTTCTGGAAGAGTCACTCTGGAAACTCCTGATGCGTCCCCATCTCTCTGTCTCCTAGAGGGCTGGTGGCCCACTTATCTTGGCTTTAAGGGTGGAGGCTCGGACACTGCTCTGTCTCTGGGCAAAGGTGTCAGCAGGCGGGAGGGCCCCAAGAACAGGAAGGGAGCAGACACACTCACTGGGACAGACTGCTTCCTGGCGCCTCCCACCCTCACACTGCTTTGTGTTAGTGACGACAGTTTCCGACACAACAGGGAGAGAGCCCAGGCTGCACTGGCCGTCCCAGGTGGGGCAGACACTGTCCTGCCATGGGTGACCAGTCTGTACCCCACCTGCATGGCATAGCAGGGGAGGCTGTTCTTCTAAAATGATGACCCATGAGATGGGAAGGTGTGTGTGCACGCAGGGAAAAAAAGAAATGACAGGAAGTAGAGCATGTTTCTGTAAAATACAAAAGACATAAAAGGAGACCCAGTAATTTTAATTTGCGAAAGTTATGGTTGATTACCTAGTTAACTCAAAAGTCTCCACTGAAAAACTATTAGATTGATTTTTTTTTTTTAAGATTTTTTTATTTATTTGCGAGAGAGAGAACGAGAGACAGAGAGCATGAGAAGGAGGAGGGTCAGAGGGAGAAGCAGACTCCGTGCTGAGCAGGGAGCTCGATGTGGGACTCGATCCCGGGACTCCAGGATCATGACCTGAGCCGAAGGCAGTCGCTCAACCGAATGAGCCACCCAGGCGACCCTAGATTAAGTGATTTTGATAGAATGATTGGTTATTAAAATTTGTAGCTTTCTTATATCTTAACAATAACCACGTTAAAAGCAGGGGTGGGGGCTTCAAGGTTCAACTCTGACCTATAAAGACCTTAGAAGCCCTAACTCCTGTCCTTACAACAAGAAAAACATGGAACAAACTGAAAATCAGTGACTTTGCTTGGGCCCATCAGAGGAGTGAGGTCCCAGGTCTCCCAGAACTTGGAGGATGTGCTCACCGGGAGCAGACGCAAGCTGATAGGGACCACGGATGGCAACTGGGCAGGAGGCTGGAGCTGAGCGCAGATGAGCAGGACAGTCTGCTGGAGGCCCCATGCTTCCATGGGTCTGACTTCCAGGAACCCAACAAGTGCTCACCGTGAAAATCCAAGAAAAAAAATCCCGTGTCTCTGCAGTGGGAGGGGAAGGAACAGTTCTGAACTAAGGTCAGAGCACTCTCCAACAGGAAAGGAGGCTTGGCAGGGGAGATGATCTCACCTGAGCTTTACTTCACCTGGGGGCAGGGCTTTCCCCACAAGCCGCTCCACCTTTCCCTTCTCACTCCAGGAGGAGTCGGGAAGGTCACAGCCCAGAAACATAGGCCACACAAGGCTGAACCCCAACCCTGACATTGCAGAATGTCCCCCTCCCCCATGCCACTCCTCAAGGCTCCAGCAGGTAAGGGGATCAGAGCAGAAAAAGCCCCAGGTGCTCTTGCTGGGAGGGAGTCCTGAGACAAACAGTGAAGACTGGAGAGGAATGTGAAGCCACCAGGACTGCACTAGAGAGGAGATACAACCCACCTGCCAGGCAGGCCAACCCGATACCTCCAGCCAAAAGCCTGTTCGGCTCAGCTTCTATTACCTGTTATACCATGTCCACCTCTTAAAAAAATTACGAGCCATGCTAAAAAGCGAGGAAAAAACGCAATCCGAAGAGACCACATCAGAACCTGATGCAGATGAGGCAGTGGTTCTGGAATCCTCAGACTTGGAATTTAAAAGAACTGATTCATCTAAGGGTCCTCATGGAGAAAGCACATCTGTGCATGGACAGAGGAGCTCTGTAGGAGGAGAGGCTGCTGAGGAAGAACCCAAAGGAAAGGTTGCACATGAGAGCCGTAGCAACAGAAGTGAAGCCCGGGGCACATGGGGTCAAGGACAGAGCCAGTGAACTTGAGGATGTTCAGTAGAACCCCCCCGCCCCGAGATGCCAAGAGCAGCACGCACAGAATACTGGAGGACTGGGGGGCAATCATAAAATTGTCCACGCATAGTGGACACGACAGAAAGGAAGAAGACATGTGAAGTAACAGCTGAGAAGTTTTCAGAATTGATGTCAGGAAACCACAGATCCAGGAAGCCCAGATGACACCAAGCACAATAAATGCCAAAAAATCTACATCTAGGCATTTCATATTCAAATTGTCCAAAACCAAAGATGGAGAGTCTTGAAAGAAGCCAGAGGAAACAATTCTTACCCACAGAACAAAATGGGTAAGAATCACAGTGGGCGACTTGTAAGCAAACAAGAGTAGAATTCTATATCCAGTGATAGAGTCCTTCAAATACAACACCATATGCTAACTGACTGGAATTAAAAAGAAACTTAAAATTAAAAATGAAATGAAAATTAAAATAAAAACTTAAAAAAAAAAAAAAAATGCAGTTTCTTG